GCAGGTGTGGAGGAGATCAAAACTCCAGACATCCAGAGGCCCCCAGAACACAAGAGACCAAGGAAGACCAACAGAGGGGCCGCTGCGCCACTGTCCCGGAAAGAGCTGAGGAGCTCTTTCCAATTGATTTTAATGATCAGACATTATTGTCTGTCTCATGCAATTTTATAAGACAAATGCTGCATTCAGTGGGAATTGGCCATGAGAGTGGTTGTTGGTGCTTTTGGTGCAAACAGAAACAAAACAATAGCTGTTTTGGTGAACACTGAATGCTGTGATATCTCGTAACATGTTCCACAGTTGGTCATGATTTATAATAAAATAGGGAGATTATGCCTTTTCTTCTAATTTACAGATTGAAAGTGTTCTGTTTTAATGCTACATATGTGACATTAAAAATCTATGACACATGTGTGGTATCAAAAACTGCATAGAGACCTACACTTGCCACTTATCTCGGTAAAAGAAGGAAGACGTTGAACAAGTTATTCAGAATGATAATTCTCGACGAAGCATCGGCGACAAAGCACCCACATGTCCAAACTGCCGGTATCATCCTTTACTATTTAGCCATTTTAGTGCTAGGCTAGATGTTTGTACATTTACCATTACTGATGTTCTTGCCAGTTTCACAATAAGCATGACCATCCATTAAGGTATTAATGAACTAATGACCACTGCTGGAATGTTCTCTCTGACATTAGGAACCCAGTAGATGTCTGTCAGAAGTAAATGTTGTCTGTTTCTAAGTGCTATATGTGTACATTGGCTGGCACAAGGTGAAGTACTCTCTTGAATTTCAGATTCATTTATAGATTTCATCTTGAGAAAGAGGGCCATGTTGTATGGACATGGTTTGAAAATGATAAAGGTATATGCATTAGAGTTCTCCTTAGAGCTAGCACAATAAGATGCCATGGCAACTGCTAAGCAGCATTGGGAGGTGTTGTGTCTAACGTTGGCATTGGAGCATGCGGTCACTGTCCAATCTGTTTACAAGCATTATGCTGTCTATAAACAGATAAACAGGTTCCACTAACACAAAGAGATCGAACCCTTCTAACTGCTAAAACAGCGTCTGGCCAAAAACAAAAGACACTGTTTCTCATCTTCTCATATTCTTTTCCTAAGATGCCATGGCAACTTTTGAATATTTCATCTCCAAATATTGATTGTATTTAATAATGACAGTAGCATAGTTGTGATGCTTGTAGACTGTAGCTCGACGACATTGTAGACTGTAGTTAAATGCATATTAACAGCTTTCTGTTGGCTCTATTTTCGCCACTCTTGTGTTCTCAAGTGTCGAGGGTGCTATTCAAACAAACGTGCTGTTAACAAACATGGTGGAACAGCGCCCCTTTGTCCAAATGCTCGATTTCATCGGCGTATCAGTTGTAATCTGCTGCTTCTCTTGTTTGCCCGCCACAGAGTTTGATTGAATAGCATCCTTAGTCTCCCTTGTGTCATTGCTAGAGCTGAATCTCCCAATTCAGCTTTCATCATATATTCATCATATTTTCGGGATTAATATGCAGGAATGTTAACAGTGAAGGCCCATTTTGTATGTCTATGTGCCTGTTTTTGTGGAAGCATGACTTGATGTTGTGTTGTTGTGCCTGTTCCAGATGCAGTACTGATAACGTTTCCTCTTTGCTATCTGCCTCCCTCCTTCTTCTTTTTTTCTCTTTTGCTTTGTGCCCTGCACTGCCTCCTTGTCCCCTCTCCCTCCCCCACAAAACCTTCTTGCTCTTTTTTTGTTTTGTTTTTTGGCGCCTGCCTTCCCAGGTGTAAACAGGTGCACGCCCCCTTCATACCCGCCCCCACAGGACCCCCTCAGTGTGGGGCAGTATGAGGTAACGGAGGACATGGCACAAGGAGAGGTTTTTGAATTCAGTCAATCCAAAAGAGGCCAGGCTCCTTTCTGGCAGAATTTTAGTAGATTAGCTCCATTTAAGAAATAGAGATACACAGACTCTTCCGATGGACCAGCTATTTTTCTTAGAAGCACTAAACACTGGATGATCATGTCCCCCCTCCCCCCCATGATGAAGAAAAATACAAAAAAAAACCCCACACAAACACGAGACTTTGAAGTTAAGGACCAATGTTAATATAGAGTGTGATTGGAAGCTGCGAGAGGACTGAAGACTTGGATTTAAAACAAAGAAAAAACATATAAAAAAATAAACACAACTTTACAGTTCATATATGTTAGTAACATTCTTAGTTATCATGCTTCTCCGGCTGAGTCAACTGTCACAAACTCTTCCCCCCTTTCTGGATAATCACGCCATCTGAATGTCCTGAAGTCATCGAGATTGTTACATGAGATCATTTTCAATCCATCTTCTGGAAAGAAACACGAGGCCAAGCCAAGTCATTCCCAGTAGTATGATTGTGACCAAAACAAAAAAACTACAAAAAAAGCTGAGATCTTGCTGTGCTGCTATGAGAGATTGTTTGATGCATTCTTCTGAATGCGAGACGACGACCTCAGCCAATCGCCGCGGCCTGTGAAGGACTTGCCAAGCTCGGCTGTCAACCTCACCTCTGAGTTAGCTCCATCCTGCCACTGATCATGCACCCATCCAGCCATCTCTGCGCTGCTGATGTCTGCGTTTGGACCTCCTCCTCGCACTCAGAGCTTCATTCTCTTCTCTGTAGCAGCTTGCATATAATAGCCCCCTCCTCTCTCTTTCTTTTCACAGTCTGACATTAGGTGTTCCCTTCCTTCTCCACATCCCACTCGTCCTCTCTATCTCTCCATCCACCTGCTCTGCCTCTGTGAGTCAGTGGCTCTCAGAGGAAGAGTTTCACTCTTTTGTAAACCTGCCATTGGCCGTGATGTGATGATGGGTCAGGGAACAAATCAATAGGCGGAACATCAATAGTATATTTACATCCGTTCACCAACCACTCGTGACAGGGTATTCATGTCCGATCGCGCTGAGGGGGTGTGTGCGCGCGCTGGATTTGGCAGTGAGCTTAGATGAAGCAGCTGGGAGCAGGAGATAGGCCGGCAACGGTCCGCCTGCCTTGTGCCACAGCCCCTCTCCCATCCCGCCCTCCCTAGAGACCACCCCTGTAGCACTGTGCTGGCACCTGGGTGGAAAAGAGGAAAAAAAAGCACAGCCTACCTCCAGAAAACGAGCGGTAAAAGTGAAGTTGTGATGCATTGGCCAAAAGAATAACATGTCAGCTGTCAAAGAAAAGACTTCGGTTGATTATTTTGTGTCACTCCCACTGTAAAAAAGCACAGCACGTACTCCCGTTTTGAGTATGAGCGATACAAATATCAACACGTCAGTGTGACCAATAAGTAAGAAGCCCATCCAGTATTCAAGGGGGTGGGGGGTGTCTAAAAAAGTGATAATGATTTGTGAAGTGGACCAAAACTAACTGGGGAAACAAAAAAGTCCACCGCAGCAGCGCAAGCCGATACCGTATACAGAGGTAGAAAGGCGAATTTAATCTGTAGCATGCAGGTTTCCTCTGACACATTCATACATCTCTATAGACTCCAGCTCCAAACCTCTGCTTTCTGCCTCACCCCTCCTCACGTTGCCCCACTCCCCCCAGATCTGGCAGTTAGCTCCAGCTCTGCTTAAGTGATTTCCAAAGGACTGTGGCGTGATCAGATTGGTTTTGTTTAATCAACAAAAACGTGTGTGAAGCCGTGGTCTGCGAGAGATCCTAGCATTATAGAGTCCTTCAGCAGTAAAAGAGAAGATCTGAGGAAGCGAAGAGGAAAATCTTACATGCATCGTGAAGACGTATTCTTTTTTTCCCACACTTGGAATGTAAGTGAAACATCTGTCCACGGTTTGTGACCACGTTTTGACCTCAGACACAGGAGTACATTTTGTGTTGAATTATATCACCAGATGGACAGTACATATACAGTTTGACAATTTGTGCAATGTGATATATCATTCTATATCTATCACTATTCACTACAGCGTGATATGAAAGAGTTATATTGTTCTATGTCATTTGTTTGCCTTCTTATAGGCCTTATAACCTGTTGGAGAAAAAACAGACCTTACAATTGCTTTGTATGTTGTAATTTATGTTTTGTTTCAGTAAAGGAAGTTGAGAAATTGGGTGAGTTGGCTGCTGGTGTCTGTAGAGATGGCTCCCAGTGAGATTGTTTTGGAAGATAGTTCTTCTGGCTGGGACGGCAAAAAAAGATATGGTTCCTAGGCTATCGTAACCTCAGGTCCCTTGTTATGGCCCGCTCTGCCTACCTTCCCTGCTCCCTCCAACTCCCTGCTTAACACTACCACCAGTACCAACATACAGATACAAGCATGCAGGCAAACGCACACACTAATAATCATGCTTACTTGCTGGCCCGTTCTGCTGCGGAGAGGAGAGATGCTATCTAACAGTGCCTTCCAGCATTCCACTAGTGATTATCTATTCAGTTTCACAGGCAGATTTGAATTAGTCATGTATTTTCCCTTCAGTGCATCTCTCACTCTCTCTTCCGTTCTGTTCCCACAACCCCCGCCCCTTCCCTAATGCACACTGGGAATTCCTCGTTCCCCAGTGCACGAGAGCCGCTCGGACAGAAACTTAGGCTACGTTCACACTGCAGGTCTTAATGCTCAATTCCGATTTTTTGATCAAATCCGATTTTTTTTGTCTGCTCGTTCACACTACAAATAAAATGCGCCAGCAAACGCGCTCTAGTGTGAATCCTCAAAGCGGCCGCATGCACAAAAGAAGACGTCACACACAACGCGCTCTGTTTAGACCCAGAGCAAACAGTATTGTTTGACTGTTTCAGACTTTACGTTTCCCAATTTTGCTTTAAGTTATAAAGTTATTTTGTTATTTACATTTGGCCATTATCCTTATTGCTGTTTTAGCGAGGAGCGGTGCTTCAAAGGATAGTTAAAGACTTCTGTCAGAATCTGCAGATTATACAGTACTAATAAAATGTTCACGTTTCTCCAACGTTGTCTTCCCAACAGTTTCACTGACATCTACACTGGATGGCCAGGAAGCGTTTGCGATGTCTTCTCGGGCGCTGATAATTGGTGTCTGTCTTGTGTCAGTGACATAAAAGACGGATTTAATGCGACATGACCATTTAATTAATGACCATTCAGCAGTCGCTTTCTAAAACATCGGATATGTATCGGATTCAGTACCACATACGAAAGTGACCCAGATCGGATTTGAAAATATCGGATTTGTGCCGTTCACACTGTCATACCATGATCGGATATGGGTCGCATAGGGTCAGAAAAGTCGGATTTGATGTGTTTTAGCCTGCAGTGTGAACGTAGCCTTAGTGGTCAGGCCACTTTTTCCATATAAGTAGATACTGTGCTGTTTGACTGCGACCCATTTAAAAATTGAAAGACGACTCATTTTCATATATTATCGCACATTTACATAGGAGCAGTTTTATTGCACATTAGAAATGTATTCCGATTTCAGATGTTTAGAAACATCGACTTCTTTTATTGTGTATTTAACACGCTGAAAAACAGTTTAATTTGAATATATAGTAGGAAGCAGATTTCCATTGGTCAACTTAGGTTCGCGTGTCGATCTATATTATTAAAAGTGAGTTACGAATCAAGAGTCATCTATTTTACCTTTATCAGCTACACACTGTAAATACTGTAAAAAGAACAGATCATATATTTGGATATCGGTATTTTGCGTTGGAGACGAATGTTGTTCCAGTTCTAGCGTGCGGTAGATCTCAGTACCAGGTAATTGCATGCTTGTGGCATCCAATATTTTGCATGAGACTTAAGGCAACACTTAACGAGATCATTTAGTTTTGTTTAACTTCCAATTGAATCTTCTTTTCTTTTTTTTCCCCCGGCAACACAGAGCCATTCATTTGTGTGTACCCATACCATCTCACTAAAGGGAGTTCTTTTCTCTGTCCACCTGTCTCCTGCTCACTTGGCATTACAGGTTGTAGCTTCTGTTTTTTGTATTACTATTATTACTATTATTATTATTTATTGACACATAAGAGGGGAACATCTTTTCCTGAATAAAACACTGAACTGCTGATAGGGAAAATCAAAGGCACTGATGTTCTCTTAGCCCAGATATGATGGGTACTATAAACTCTAGCATCGTTTTAAACCCACACTGCTATGCTACAGACTGCTGGTTAATATTGTTTTCCTAAATATATGACTTTTTTGGGTTTGTTTTATTTTTTTGTGGAATGCCATTATGTGCAGAGGCAAAACGGGTAATCATTTTTCTACGACAACAGTGAACCAAATATGAGTTAGCACTGATCTTGGGTGTTTGTGTATAGATTTAGAGCTGAATAAATTCGAAACCTCTTGGGACGGGCTAAAAATAAACATAATCCTGAAGAGACACACACACAGTATTTCACAGCTGTTCATATCACACTCTTGTTCCTTTTAAGTACAATGACTTGACATTACAAAGCAGTTCCTCGCTTGTATTTATTGACAGCAGTATTAAACAGTACCATTTTGGCCACATGGTTTCAATGATGTATATACGCCGGTTTGAGTTTTCTTATAAAGCTATCAATCTGACCTTGTGCTCCGAGCTGAGAGGATAGCCTTCTGTCCAAATTTATTTCTGTTTTTTCGCTTTCTCTTTCCAGTCATATAACTAAGGCAGCCAAGTTAGTTGAATGCATCAGAAGTTGCACAGATTTATGTAATTCCTTCTAGTCCAGGGTGAGCCAGTAGACGCGTTCACTCACAGTTAGCATAGCAACATCTTCAGTAGGAACTCCTTGGAGTCGGTTATGCAGTCCTGTGCTGTTCCAGAATAGTCAGGGTAAAAGTCTTCAATGAGCCATATGCCGATGTTGGTGTTCAATGGCAACAAACAGAAGACTGACATCCCACATTTGGACACTATTCATTGTATATTACCATCTGGTTTCAGGGTTTGGTTTGGGAGGGGGGGGTGTCTGGATTTTTTTTTTTCAAGTGAAAAATGTACTCACAGAATCCATATCCTTTGTCATCATATGCAAACATTTGTCATTTTCTTTCTTGCTGGCTTTTGAGTTTGATTATTTGTTGTAGAGATGAAAAACCTGAAAAATAATGCCTATTCAATCCAGAAACTGTGAATGGGAGAGTGGAAATGTCAACTGTATGTACATTATATGTTTTGATGTAATCAGAAGCACTGGGAATATGTTGTACTTTGCTGTAAAAAAAATCAATCCATATCTGATATAGCTGTACTTTTTGTTGAAAATAAAACTACAGAACTGCGGGGGGGAGGGTTCGAGGCATCAGTCTGTGAGTGAGAGCATTGTGCTGGCCTTCCTGTCGTGTGACATCATCTCCTGTTTGTTTGTAGGGCCCATTCCTAACAGCTGACACATTAACTCCAGGGTATATTATGTACGATAAATAATATTACAGTGGTAATCACTAATCACACACACACACAAAATAAAACTTTTTTTTTTAAATCAACAAACTTCTAAACACTAAAATTGAATCCTGAAAATAATTATGCTCTAATCAATAAGTAATGAGCGTTATGGAAACATATTCTCCCAGCTGGAGGCACTGAAGTGGAGGCTTTTCATTCTGCTTCCTGGTGTTTTGAAGTCCAAAGACACAAGAATGTTTTTCAGGCAAGATCTAAGACATCCTGTTGTGGTGCAGACAGTGTGTGTGTGTGTGTGTGTCTGGATGTCTAAATAAGTAAGGTGACTACATGTGTCTGTGTAATGTTACCCGAGTGAAGGAGTGAGCCAAAGTGGATTTAGTGAGGTAATATCAGAATAACAATAGTGCCTGTGAGGAGCCTCAGATTTTGATATCCACAACGTATGGTGTTACTGTGGTCTCTAGTGGCCACTGATGTTGTTACACTTCCCAAAGATACAGTATATAAACAATTCGGATGTAAAACAGTCCTTTAGCTTGTTCTGGTAAAAATTTAAAAAATGTATAAAAGAAAGAAAAATTTTTAAAAAGAAGAAAAGCATCACATGGCGTCTGAGGTTTCATGTTTCAAGTAATTTCTCAGGATCAGAGGAATGTCCAAGCTGTCAATTGCAGGCTCCTTGTTAGCAAAAGGGAGGTATCCTCTGATTGCCAGTCGAGCCTGTGACATCAGAGATTTGGGGCAAACTGTTGAAGAAACAGAAAACAACATTTGTATGCTGAGGTATTATAGCACCAACTCATAACAAAAGGCACTTTACGACAATTTAGGTAAAGACCCCACAGAGTATTAAAGGGAAAACCACAACCATCAGATGATCCCCTATGAGCGAGCGCATGGTGACTGTAGGAAGAAAAAACTTCCTTTGAACAGGAAGAAATCTCTGGCAGAACCGGGCTCAGGGAGGGGCAGCACTTCTGCCATGACTGGTTCGTGTAAAGAAGAAAGACGAGAGAATATAAAATTGAATGGCATGCAGCAGTGGTGTATAAACGCATGTGAAATGTAAAGAGTAAAGAAGAAATCCTCATTGCATCACGGGACAGCCCCCTGCAGCCTGAGCCTATTACAGCATAACTAAGTGATGGTTGAAAGTCACCTGATCCATCCTTACTATAACCTTTATTTAAAAAAAACCAAAAGGAAAGTTTTGAGTCTAATCTCAAAAGCACAGAGGATGTTTGTCCCCTGAATGCAAACTGGGAGATGATTCCAGAGGCGAGGGGTCTGAAGGCTCTGTCTCCCATTCTACTTCAGAAACTCTAAGAACAATAAGTTAGGCTGCAGTGTGAAAGCAAAGCTCTATCATCATGGGGTCTGATCATTCAAGATTTTGTATGTGAGGAGAAGGATTTTAAATTAAATTCGGGTGTGACTTGCTCTCACCTCTCTCCTTGAGGAGAAGAAGCAGAGCTTCGTTCTGCTTAGTGGTTTTGTCAATGATGAGTGTCGGCAGATAGACGTCTGCTCCAAAGTCTATAAGAAGCTGAATGTACTCCACCCCACAGCCGTAGCGGAGACACACCTCCAAAACTGTCTTCGGCTGTTTGATTCTGGCCAACATTTTCTCATCTGTGCAGTTGTAGTTGGAATTTGCACCGTGAAGAAGGAGCAGTTTAAAGCAGTCCAAGTGTCCATACACAGCTGAGATGTAGAGGGGCCCTCTGCACGCTGTGGCGTTGGAGGCCCATTCGGGGACTTTGGGCTTCACATCTACCTCAGCTCCAAACCGAAGCAGCTCTCTGAGTATGTCGACGTCACCCTCTCGGGCAGCGGTCAGCACCGGGGAGCAGTTGTTGTACTGGCTGCCATTGGGATCTGCTCCAGCACTCAGCAGTGAAACTACACAGTCCAGATGTTTCCCACTGACAGCTGTGAACAGAGGCGTCTGGGCCTTCACGTCCAAGCTGTCAACCTGGATTCAGACATAAGAAACCAACAGGCTTTTTTAAAAGTAGAAACAAAGTTTGTTGATACAAGAAATTATGCCACTGATTTATCACCGCAAGTACTTTTCCCCTGAGTAAGTATCAAATACCGTCCTGCATGCATGCGAGTAAGTGATTGGATCACAGTTTAACACCCTTCTAAGTGAAGGTATCATTTGCACAACCCAACATCCACATGTGTGCCACCGCAAGCTGTCACCTTTACTTCAGTACGACATGGTTAGCAGCTCTGTAGCTCACTGTAAGTGAAATGCTGAACTGACAATGTTGACTCTGCTCTGCTGCTGTGGGAAATCTAACCCCCCAAGGCTACTGATTAGGCTTTGACTGAAGATAATCAATTCGTTCTGCAAATCTGTTGATAGACATCTGCTGGCTTGTGCACTGAATGCACTGGAAACAAAGAGAAACATTGTTAATAGCTTGAAAAACCCAAAGAAGCATCTAATAGATGCTCTGCAGAACTGAGACGTGCTGCAAAGTTGGACTGTGTTGGTCTTGTGACTCCTAGTAACTGCTTCCACACTGCACTTAAAAATTTGATCTATTGTTCGAATTTAAAAAATCCTTACGCCAGCTTTAATGCCCAAATTGTAAAATGTAATGATGCAATATATTGTAATATCACACCTTGTTTTATTACTCTTCCCTTTGAACAAAATAAAAAGAAAGAAAATCCATGATGTCCAAGTCCAAAATGTCATTTTTGTTAATAAAAAAATGAAGGCAACTTGTTACACCCTCAACATTTCATCATCCTCTCTACAAAGTCTCACCTCTGCTCCGTGCCCCAGTAGCAGCTCCAGGCACCTCAGATGTCCCAGTGCAGCAGCAGTGCGCAAGGGAGTTACGGGGACCCCCCACCCACTTCGAGCATTGATAGACTTTCTGTAATCCTCCTGAGACAGAAGCTCTGAGAGCAGAGCTACATCGTCGCTGCTCACGGCGTTGTTCAGAGCCTGACTCTGCTCGCCGTCCTCATCCTCCTCCTTGGGCTGGAGCAGGGAGAAGATCTTAGAAATGTCCATCAAACTCATGTTGGCAGCTCGGCCCAGAACCATACTGGGACTCCAGGCTAGTTCAAGTTAAAACCCTTTCATCTGCAACAGCAGAGAAAGACCATAACACCATAACTTGTCTATCGGCTTATGTTTTGTTAAGACTCATTTTTTAACATCAGAATAGCAGAAACATGAAAGAATAAGGCTCACAAGCATACACCGCAATCACGAGATGAATCAGTTTGTGCCAACTGCAACTGCAGCAGTGTGGGATTTACACTGGGAAGACACCTACCTCACCTTGTTGCTTGTTGATGGTGTTTCCAACGGGATAAGTCGAAACCCTTTCAGAGCTCCAATAAAACACAAGTCACGTGAAGTAAAGGTCCTTGAGGAATGCCCAATGCTTCCACTGGTGCAACGAGTTGAGAAAAGTGCAGTGTGCGCTGTGTGTGTATGTGTGTGCTTAAACTGACAAAGGTGCCAGAGCTCCTTTCTGGGGTGGGGTGGGGGGTGTTTGGGGGCTAATTTTAGGCCACAGATGGGCCTGACTAAACTTCCATTCTTGGAGACTTGAGTCTCATGTTTATAATTAGAAAGGTGATAGAGTTGTGACACTTAGTGATTGCCCAGTGTGACTTATCTCTGGGACATTGCTGTCTCTTTGCCACAGGTCAGCGTGTGTGGCATGTTAAGCTGGAAGGTGCTGCGCTTCTATATTTCTTTTCTAAGAAGAGTGGTTATTCTGCTGCATGTGTCCTGTCATCACCCCGCTTTGCCTGGTTCACACTGAGGGAGCCATTTTGGTGAGTGTCAGCTGTGTGACTGTCAGGGTCTTCAGAGAGGAAGCCAGTCAGCTGTTACCCTGCCAAACCCACCCATGTCTTCATGCTGTCCCACGTTCAGAAGGGAGGCTCTGACACGCAGCACTCTTTCAGCAGATGGCACAAGACACCAGATTCCTAGCATTGTTCAAACCCCACGAAGAGGTTTTAATTTATTTGAGCACAAAGAGCAATTAAATACAGACATGGAGGATTGGCTTTTAATGCAAACTTCAAGAACACAGACTGAAAAATGGCGCAATCTCTAAGCTGGAATAAAAATGCAATAAGAAATACAGTGGGCTTTTTTTGACCACAGCCAAACTAATAACATCAGTGAGACAGATTGAAAATAAACTATGCAGACCATGAAAGCAATGCGGTTGCTGGAAATGTTTAGTCCTTCACGTCACATTCCCTGCTGTGACATATCACATCAAAAAAGTATTGTGTCACTAAACTTGACTGTACTACTTTTATAATTTTTTACAATTAATACATTGCACACAAAATAGCACCAAATTTTAAACACAACAGTCCCATTTTTAAATTTCTTTTAAATAAACATATGTGTAACTAACTGCACAACATCGCTCTCTTTTTTAAAGTAAGAAGTTTCTTAATTTAAGTCTGTGAAGGTTCTCAGTCATCCAGGTCATCGTAGTCAAAGGAGCTTGCAAAGAAATTTAAGAAACTTCACCTAGCCCTTAATAAAACAATAATGTAATAATAATAACATCAAGAACAATAATGTTCTGTTTTATTAAAGTCTAGAAATAGTTTCTTAATTTAATTGAATTGAAAGAAAAGAAAAAAAAACTAAATATGCTTTATTGGTACCCTTTAAATTAATACCCTTTAAATTCCCCCGTCGACCGCCAGATGGAGGTAGTGGCGCAGTGATGGCAGGAAGTGCAGCTGTAGTAAAAACTAAAGAAGCGAGTGACGTGTTGGGAAAGCCACTTTCTTAATGAGCCGTGTGCCACGTTTTCAATTGTTTTACTAGGGCCTGGTTTAGCTAAACAACAACGATTGGTTTCGATACTCTGTTATCCCTTCCAAAAAATAAACACTTGGTGCCAACACTTAATTTAGCGCCATAAGCTAAACTTAGTCGCGGTTAACCGATTGCGGTATTCATTTTCTTGAATGCCACTTTATCGTTTAAATAGATAGCAGTGAAGCTCTGCGTCTGTTTGGCACAGAATGGAAGAGGAGGAAGCGCTGAGAAACTACTGCAGAACAATGATTTCTCGTGTCCGGAACAAGCGCCAGTGCCCCCGGGAGCACAAACATGGAGGAGCCAAAGGGAGCAACTGGTCCGAAACTGAGAGACAAGTTGCATCAGCGCACAGAGGGAGTAACCTCCATGTTCTTGAACGCAACATAGACCCAGCCTCCCCTCATGTGGGTCAAGGTCCCGCTGTCCCACACGCTCCCTTTCAACTAGTTACGATGCTGAGGATCAAAACCTTGAAGGAGGAGATGAGACGGGTTATGAAACATCCTTGTGTGACTCTGTTTCGCCCTGTCTGGATGTCATTACGGCTGTTCCAGCCTTCATGTGCTCTTATTTGTTGACAGGCTGCAGAGGTGGAGCTGCACGGTCCCGCTGTGTGCAGCGTGTGCGCGCAGGAACAGGCTTCTCTGGCCTTGAAAACTTTTATCAGGAGGAAAAAGACACAACTGCAGATCCAAGCCCTAAAGTCCAGACTAAACACACGTTTGGGTAAGTGACTGTTAAGGGGTGATCATCTGAAGCTAACCCGCCAGCTTACATGCATGTCAGAGTAACTGATCACATCTGTTATCTGATTCTGGGTCTTTTTCTCTTATAGGATTGGACACTTTAGGGGGAGTTGGCACAGAATCTCTCAAAGCCCTCCAATGCCCCTCTCTGGATCTGAGAGGAACTACTTGGCAAAGATATGCAGGTCACAGCAACCTGGGTTTCCTTAGCAACCGCTAAGGAACGTGGAGTTGCCCTGGCAACAGATGAAATGAGGGGTTACCCTGACAAAAAAGCTACAGGAACTCATTTAGGAGACCTCGCTGTCCTTTTTCAGACAGATAGCTGCAGACATGACAGCTGCGGTATTAATGGAGCGAGGGACAGTGGCGTAAGTGCAGTCGAACATATTCTTGCCTCTTTATTTTCAAACACAGGCTAAACCCACCAACTTACACTGCTTGGCAGCAGCTGTTTACATTCACACCCCTTAATAACACAAATGTCCAGCCTTTGTTTTGAGTGTAATAGTGGTGGTGAAGTGCACGCTAACAGGGTTAGTACAAAACAGCAGTTTATTATTTTTTATCATTGTATTAAACACACAAAACTATTCAAAGCAAATGAGTCTGGCCTTTTTTCCCCCTCCAGTTTTGGTGGTTACTGAAACACTGTAAACATTAAAACAACACTGTGTTGCATTTCACTTTCAAACCTATTCGATTTTATCTTGGCACAAAAAAACAAAACAAAAACACAACAGACAGCCGTGGCAGCAGGCATGCACTGGAAAAGAAACGAGAAAATACAGTAAAATATCTAAGGCAATAACCAATAGCAACACGGGCAACATTATTCAGACAAGTTCAAATTTTCTGCATTATTACAATTACAATTGTCAGGTGCTAATTAACTACCATGGAAGTCGTACATTACATATAAACACATCCAAAGCACTGGAAAAACTACAAAATAACATTACTAGATGCTCAACCAAATCTTGACAGGTTAGGAGCAAGTTACTAAGACAGTTTGTTAAACTGGGGGGACTGTGTGGAAACTGGAAACACAGACCTGTCAGACCAGTCGTGAACTCTGCACGGCTGATTCAAGGTCAGTGTCTTGGACCAGTTGTCTTTATACTCCTCTGAAGCTAAAGGTGGGAGTCTACTCATCTGGCTTCCTCTTGGGCTTCTTTGGGTTGCGGGAGCGGCTTTTAGCCTTACATAATGGACAGATGGGAGCGTTACGATGAATCTGCTGGTGGCAGGACAGGCAAGCCTGGAGAAAGGTGGAGGTGGTTAGTGCGAGAACTTAATTTGAGGACTTTCTTGTGTTGTACAGATAAGAAGCACCACAGGTTTCATGCAGCTACGTAATCCATCGGATAGTGTCTGTTGACTGAAGCACCACTAAAGAAAGACACGAGTGAAACTCATCAACTTGTACAGAAATAGCCACAAACAATGAAAAGTGGGCAGGTCACAAATTAAATTTATCTTTTGTTCTTATTTTGTCCCCAAAGCTGATTTTAGAAGCAGGAAAAATGGGCAAGTGTAAAGATTTGAGAGAGTTTGACAAAAGGCCAAACTGATGGCTAAATGACTGGGTCAGAGTTTAAAAAACTGCAGCTCTTGTGGGATGTTCCCAGTCTACAGTGGTCAGTATCTATGTAAAGTCCGAGGAAGGAACAGTGGTGAACCACTGACAGGGTCATAGACGGTCAAGGATCACTGACGCATGTGAGGAGTGAAGTCTGGCTTGTGTAGTCTGATCCAAGAGACGAGGTCCCGTGGCTCAAACTGCTGAAAAAGTTAACGCTGGTTCTGACAGAAAGGTGTCAGAATACAGAGAGCATCACAGTTTGTTGTTTACAGGGCTGCAGACCAATCAGGCTGCCCATGCTGACCCATGTCCACCACCGAAAGACCCAAGATTGGCATTAGAACTGGACCACGGAGTAATGGAAGACGGTGGCCTGGTCTGATGAATCAGGTGTATGTGCGTTACTTACCCAAGGACTACATGACACTAGGATGCCCTATGGGAAGAAGGCAAGCCAGCAGAAGCAGCGCAATGCTTCGGATATTGTTCTGCCAGGTTGACCCGTACCACCTACCACTGTTGCAGACCATTAACGTGTTCTGCCACAAAGCAGAAATAGTTCAGGAGAAGCACAACAACGAGTTTGAGGTGTTGACTTGGCCTCCAAAGTCGAGCATCTGTGGAACGTGCTGGACAAACAAGTCTGAAACATGGAGATCCCACCTCTCAACTACAGAAGTGAAAGTATCTGTTGCTATGATACCACAGCACACCTTCAGGGGTCTAGTGGAGGGTCTGCGGGTCGGAGCCGTTTTGGCAGTAAAAGGGGGAACGACCCAATATTAGACGGGTGGTGAGAATGTTATGCCTGATTGGTGTATAAATAGCTGAAGTTTATGTCAGTTGAATTCACAGTGCTTTGGCATCATTATCTGTGTGTAGGTAATACCTTCATAGGTGGAGGTTGCTGTCTGAAGGTGGCTGTCTGACGGGCGTCTTGCTTCCTGGACACCTGAAGCTGCTGTGCTGCAGCTGCGGCGGCAGCAAGGGATTCTGGAATGGCAGGCTCATGCGTCTCCTTCTGCCACTCTGCCTTCTGCTTCTCAAAGTAACTGTTCAAAAGGAAAAACGAAACCTGGCTAGCAGTGAGTCCTATTTAATGCTTATGAATCATATTCCAGTTGAGATTACCCCATCTACACCGTGCACCACGAGACGAGGGGCGGCAAAAACTGAACAAAAGGAAGACTTAAATTGAACATTATAGTGGAACTCACACGTTCTCTTTTTATGCACAACTTTGAGCAAAAGCACAGTCATGTGAGACTGTCTGCATGCATACAAACGTGTGTGTGTGTGTGTGTGTGTGGGCAGGGGAGGGCTGGGAAAGAAATGTGGCCTTGGACTTTATGCTTGACTGGCTCGTTTTCAAAAAAAAAAGTGATATCCTATTTCATTACGCT